TATATATATATTTGGTCTGTTTCTAATTAAGAGTTCCTTTTGTTCTTTTTTCATATTGGTCTTGGTTAAGTAATGATCCAAGAAATTTAAGTTATAATTGCTCTCTTAATTACAGTAATTAAAGGCAACAGTTATTCCAAATCAGTACTAATTCAAATATGATTGAGCATATACCAGTGCTAACAATAATTATAACCATGAGTTTATATTATTATTATTATAATAAGGAATTGATTTGGTATCACTACAGAATATTTGTTAAAATGTGCTTTTTCTGCAACTAAAAGTTAATATTAATTAACTTTAATATTATAAAGTATTTTAATTATGTAGTCTTAATATTATATAGTCTTTTAAAAATATATACTCTTTCTTTTCAATAAATAAAGGCTTATTTTGTAAGTTAGTTGTTATAGTGAAATCAATTCAAGTGATTAAATAGATGGGTCATAAGGCAGGTTATGATCTGTAACTATTAAAAGCAAATAAAAAAAAAAGACAGGAATTAATGTCATGCATAGAAAATACCATCTGAGGTTATTTACGCCAGAAAACTATATCTGAGAATAAAAATGGGTAATCATATATAACCACAGAACTTTTTAAATTTGTAAATTACCCTGCATGTTTTAAGCAAGAAAAGATTCTACTTGCTATATTCTCAATATAGCCATATTGCCATATTGAATAAAGTAATGGGTATACATATTGATAAAAATGGTATGCATTTACAAATTAATTGTCTTTTGGTATTTATATGGCAATCTGATTTTGATTTCTTTACAAAGCTTTGAAATGGCTAAGACTGTACAATATTATCTATTCTGTGAAGCTTTCTCATTTCTGGGAGACAGTTAATCTTATCTTTAGATGCATTTACAAATTAATTGTCTTTTGGTATTTATATGGCAATCTGATTTTGATTTCTTTACGAAGCTTTGAAATGGCTAAGACTGTACAATATTATCTATTCTGTGAAGCTTTCTCATTTCTGGGAGACAGTTAATCTTATCTTTAGCACCTTGAACATATTGTAAGATTCTAAAACTGACTTGACACACAAGATGTACTAAAAGAAAATCAATAAATATGTTATAGTATAAATCATTTTTAAATTTATATGTGCTTGTTTCATCTACTATACTGTAATATCTTTGAAGACAAGGACTGTCTTTATAATTTATTTTTAGAGCTCATCATAATATTAACCATAGTAGAAAATTAATCCATGTGTCAGTTAGATGTGCTTTCGCTGCAAAACTCAACTATCATAGCTTAAATAAATGTGGTAATCATTCTCACATAGCAAAGAAACCAGAGGTATGCATTCCAGGTCATTAAATCAGGCTCTTTTTATCTTTCTGTTCTACCATTTTAAATGTTATGGGATGGTTGTTATACTAACTTCTTCCAGACCCATGTCCTTGTTCAAACAGGAAAAAGGAAAAGGAAACAGGGTTTCTCATTCTGATGTTCTCATTTTTCTTAGATAGGAAATCTTCCCAGTAGACATTCTCAAATCTCATCAGCCAGAACCAGATCACATGCCTGCCTTGAGACTAGTGAATAGTCAGTAAACAAAGGTCATAGTGGAAGATAAAGACTAATCACAATTTAGCTTTTGGGTTTGGGATGGGAGCTTATGCTACCAGAAATCAATGAATTCTGTATTCTACCTGATCAAATAGGGGTTTAGTTAGCAGGTCAAAAGGGGACCATTGTGTAGTTAGTAAACAGTAAATTACAATTTTTATTTTGTAGCGGGCAATGTTACAATAAACATTATCTAAGTAGAATTGGATTTGTTGAAATGAATTACTCATCAAATGCTATCCCTAATTGCATCTTTACATTTTTATTTGTATTCGGCAAAATTTAATATGAGTGATTTCTGTTTCTCTGAGGATAATTAAAAATGTATAAATTCTTTATTTTTCTTACACTGGAAAAGAAAATACGTTATTTCGAAAAGATGCATTTTTTCATCAACTTAAAATTTTTTTTTTGAATATTTTATAATTGCAAGGGAAATTCAAATGTATAATTATGTCTTCTGTTTTTTCTTAGGTCTTAAAGGTCTTAGGTCTTAAAGGATAAATATGAATTTAGAGTCCATTCATCGATTAATTGAGGAAACACAAATCTTCCAGATGCAGCAGTCATCAATTAAACAACGCTGTGAGATGGTACCACCTGCCTTATCCCCCAGGGATACCTGTAATTGCAACTTGCCATATTATGGGCTACAATCTCATGCTGCCCACAATTTCTGTGCTCACTCATATAACACCAGTGGATGGGATATTTGTGAAGAACTTCGCCTGCATGAACTTGAAGAAGTCAAGGCCAGAGCTGCTCAGATGGAAAAGACCATGCGGTGGTGGTCAGACTGCACTGCCAATTGGAGAGAAAAATGGAGTAAAGTTCGAGCCGAAAGAAACAGTGCCAGGGAGGAAGGAAGACAACTCAGAATAAAATTAGAGATGACAATGAAAGAACTGAGTGCACTGAAAAAGCAACAAAGTTTGCCACCTCAAAAGGAGGCATTGGAAGCTAATGTTACCCAGGACCTGAAGCTTCCTAGTCACATAGAAGTGTCCTATGAACACAGAGACCAATTCCAAATGAGTTCACAAAAGTGTGATTCTGTCAGAGGGTGTTTGGTAAAAAGACAATTTCCTACAAAGGAGAACACAAATAGTAAGGTAAGAACAAACAAAGAAACAAAACCACTGAGAAATCCAGAGATCACATGCATTTTAAAATGCCATAGAGTGAAGGAAGGTGACAAACCATTGGTGACAGTATTATTCTGCTAGGGCTGCCATAACAAAGTACCACAGTCTGAGTGGCTTAAGCAAAAAATTTATTTTCTTACAGTTGTACAGACTAGAAGTCCATGATCAAGATGCCAGGAGGGTTGGTTTCTTCTGAGGCGTCTTTTCTTGACTTACATATGCCATCTTCTCCCTGCGTCTTCACATCATCTTTTCCCTGTGCAGTACTCCCTCCTTCCTTATCCCTGGGAGATGTGTTCAAGACCTCCAGTGGTTGCCTGAAACCCCCTTAGTACCGACCCCTATAAACACTGTTTTTTCCTATACTTACGTACCTATGATAAAGTTTAATTTATGTAAGTTGAAATGTTTATAGGGTATTTTTCTTTAAAAAAAAATTTTTTTTTTAACTTGACAGTCTAGGCTACTAATACCTTTGTGTACATCTTTGTCAAAAAGGTATATATTTTCAAAATTCAGTTGTGTTAATGTATGTATTTGAATGCGGTGATGGGGATAAGGAAACATAGCTCACATAAGGTACACTCAATCCATAAGATATGTCTTTATTATTAAAAGCCACTAAGCTCTGCATTTGAGGAAATGAAGAATTTTCTTCACATGTATTATGTTGGGAAATTTTTAATATTTGGGGATTTCATTTGGAACATCTTTCTTATCAGTGTCAATAACAAATCATACCATAAGATATGTCTTTATTATTAAAAGCCACTAAGCTCTGCATTTGAGGAAATGAAGAATTATCTTCACATGTATTATGTTGGGAAATTTTTAATATTTGGGGATTTCATTTGGAACATCTTTCTTATCAGTGTCAATAACAAATCATATAAAATAGGTATTTATTAGAAGTTTCTTTGGGAAAAAAAATAGGTAAAATTTCTCCTGATGGTAGGAAACGAAGTATTAGTTGCATAAGATGTTTAATCAGCTTTTTCTAATGAGAAAGATACCTTGCATGTATAGTTCGTCTGAACACAGTATTTTCCAAGGGTGACAACACGTCTTATTTTATTGTTTTCAAGATAGTATAAATAACCACAATATTAATTCTTGAAAGAATTAATTGGTGGATCATACTATTTTAAAAATGCTAAAGGTGAATTATCATTGAGATTTTATTTGAACTTGGTTTTATTTCATTTAAAACCCATAAACCAGGGCAGATCTAAATTTTAGACAAATATCTACACATGAGTTCAGTGAAGTTTTGGAATTATAACATAGGATTTTTGGTGCAGTGTACTGCTCTGGTAATTGATTCCTGTATTTATTAAAAGGTCCCCTTAAATTCTATTTGAGATTTGTCTAGTAAACTGAATTTTAATAAACAAGCCTGTTAAAAATATTCAAGAGCTTTCTGAAAATTCTCTCTATCCTGTCCTCCAAAAAATGCTGAAAATAATCAGTTGTTTTTATCTTAAAACTCTCAAGTGCCTTGTGACTAAAAAAGAAAGACTTTAAAGAGGAATACAGAAACTTATTTAGAAAAGAAAACTCTTACAGCTGTTTATTCATTGTTACTTTTAGCTGTGGATAGAAAAAGAAAACAAACTAAAAGATAAAGCAGATATTTTTAAAAATGTATTTTATTAAAATAAGGTAGAACATGGGAAGAAAAATAAGTTTGAAGAAGAATTCAAGTTAGTTTGGCCATGTAGTAACACTCAGGAAATAACAACGAATTAAAATATGAATTTATTTTATTATAACATTTATTTCTTTTCAAAAATATTTTTCTTCATGTTTTTTCAACTGAGGAATTACATATTCATCAGTAATAATTGTTTTTTTGTTTTTTAGGAAGAAAGTGTGGTTATTGACTCATTAAGATTAAATGAGGAAATAAATCCCAATCTAGATTTATACAAGAATGGTCGTTCTGGAAACTGTGTAATGAAACCTGGGCTAAGAGGACAGGCAATAAATCTGTCATTGGAAAATGAAATAACTGAAATTGCAGCTTTGCAGGTACATTTGGATGAGTTCCAAAAAATCTTATGGAAGGAAAGAGAGTAAGTACTAATCGTGGTCTTCCTTAATCAAGTCTGAGTTTTAAACCTCTTAAAATTGTTAAGTCTGATAAAGCGGCCATTTGATAATGTATTTTACCCATGTTTAGTCATTAAATTTTAAGATTTAAAAAAATTAGTTTGACATATGTTCATATTTTGAATTTCAAAAAGTAATTTATATCTTGTTAATCTTTACCATTCTTTTAAATAGACTTTTATCCTATGTTGTTATTTCTGGTAGATTCACTTTAATTATATTTAAATACTTAATATATATGTTTAAAATATACAGTGTATTATGTAATTTTTTACAGCATTCTTGGACTTCAGTGTGTGAATAAGAAATATGTCAATATTAATAATGGACAAATCACAATTTTGTGAGGTATTTTTTTCTTGCAAATTTTATTTTATTTTGTCAATATACAATGTGGTTGATTATTGTGGCCCATTACTGAAACCTCCCTCCCTCCTCCTTCTCCCTCCTCCCTCCCAACAATGTCCTTTCTGTTCCCTTGTCATATCAACTTCAAGGAATTGTAATTGTTATGTCTTCTTCCCTCCCCACCCCTGTTTTTTTGTGTATTTGTTTATTTATTTTTAGCTCCCACAAATAAGTGAGACCATGTGATATTTCTCTTTCTGAGCCTGACTTGTTTCACTTAATATAATTCTCTCTAGGTCC